CTTCAATTAATAAAATTTATCAGGAGCTCTACACCGGTCTTAATCTTCCTTTCCAGTCTCTCGGGGTTGACCTGGATTTCTTGGACTTCAAAGGTGGGTTCAATACAGAGCTAACCCTTCTTGTACTTTGTACCGTTGTTGTTAACGACATGGACCTTGAGCTCCTTTTCTGAAGCTGGACATGCAATAACTTTGTGTTGCCAGGTTTGTTCCCCCTTGGCGTCTGGCGATGATGCTTCCTTGCTTCACGTCACCAGACGGGAAGGCCTCCTTGCTTCCAGGTCTTCAAGTAAAACCTTCGTGTTGTAAGGTTTGTACCCCTTTGACAATGATGCTTTCACGTTGTTGTGAATCTATGCGTCATAGGGCGTCTTCGTATTATCCGGGGAGTGTCTCCATGTCCACAAGAATAACGTGACTTCAACACTTATGTACCTGTTCTTGTGGCGTTAACCTCTAGAACCCTTGAGTCAAAGCTTCTAGAATGCGGTGGCTTCCCGGAACGCTTACATCCCAGTATGAAGCTGTATCGGCTTTATGCGTGGAGCACGATAGGGCTCACCTCTAAGGCGATCACGGGCAGATTGCATGTTATGACCGTGACCCAATTTTACCCCTAGAGTCTCCAGGATTCGACACTTGATTCCAGAGATCTAATGTCAACATCATCACCTGATTCCTCGCGTGCCCGATCGTGCAGTCATGATGACCTTTCCGGACATGAATACGACGGTCGTCATCCCGAAAAGGAACGGGGCCCCGATCGTGCAGTCACGATGTCGGCGCTGAGGAGCCGTCCCGGAACATGATTACGACGATCGTCGTCTCTTAAGGGAACGGGGAGCCCGATCGTGAGGTAACGACGTCAATGCCAGGAATCAGGCTTGAGAAAGATAACCAAGCAATGGCGACACAAGGTGGCAGCACACTGCGGCGGCGGCACAGAGTGGCAGCACACTGCGGCGGCGGCACAGAGTGGCAGCGCCGCGCGGCGAGCCAGCACGTGATGGCGCTGGCACATGATGGCGCCGCACGTCAACAGACGAAAACATTGACAGTTCAACCCATTGGTTGAGGTTCCTTGTTTCCCTCCTATGCCTGGGGTTTGAATCCCAGCCCAAACTCTTCACTTTCTTCCTCTGCTTAGCGTCTTCTGCCCCAGTCTGGCAGTCTACACGCCCTTGTGGAATGGCTTCACGTTGCGAGGTCTGTACCCCTTTATCAACGATTCTTCCAGGATTTCGAGCAACGGCTGACCGTTGCAAGGTCTGTACCCCTTGGCAACGGTGCTTCCTTCCTTCCCAAGACGAGTGTTGTCGGGAGGGCCTCCTTCCTGGTTGTCGCCGCGTTGCAAGGTCTGTACCCCTTTAGCAACGGTGGTTCCAGGACTTCGGGTAACAGCCCGCGTTGCAAGGTCTGTACCCCTTTAGCAACGGTGCTTCCTTCCTTCCCAGGGCGAGTGTTGCCGGGAAGGCCTCCTTTTCGGCTGCCACTGCGTTGCAAGGTTTGTAACCCCTTAGCAACAGCATTCATGGACCTTCACGAACAGCTCCACGTTGCAAGGTTTGTACCCCTTTAGCAACGATACTTCCAGGATTTCGGGTAACACCACGCGTTGCAAGGTTTGTTCCCCTTTAGCAACAGTGCTTCCTTCCTTCCCAGGACGAGTGTTGCCGGGAAGGCCTCCTTCCTGGCTGCTGCCGCGTTGCAAGGTTTGTAACCCCTTAACAACGATACTCATGGACCTTCATGAACAGCTCCGTGTTGCCTTTAGCAACGATACTTCCAGGACCTCGAGCAACAGCTCTACGTTGCAAAGTCTATGCCCCTTTGACAGCAGTGCTTCATCATTGTGCCAGTGGATGGTTCTGGGACGTGGAGGTCGGACACGTATGGCTCTCCCTCGACGGCCCTTCTCCTCAACTCATGTAACCTTAGCCTCAGATGTTCCACTACGTACATCAGGGGACGGTTTTGCTCGATCGTGTCCAGCGCGAAGCTGAACTTGCGCAGAAGACTCTGCAACCCTCTTCTGTGCGTGGTCGAGATTTAGCATGGCGTCCATCCGGGAAGGTTGTCCGCCTGCCCGGTCAATGGGAGTGATATGACGAGTCGTCCTTCCTGGCTACCATGGCTACCCAACTTGGCGGGACACATACTCCATTCGAGATCTGTCTGTGCTGGAAAATCTTTGCTGGTACGCCTCTCGGGGAGCCAGCCGTCTACCCGGTCGACGGGGGTGATGAGACAAATCGTTCCCTCCTTCCCGAAACAAGCGTTACCGGGAGGGCCTCCTTCTTGGCTGCTCAACTTGCCGGGACACGTACTCCCTTCAAAATCCGTCTGCACTGGTACGCCTTTGCCGATACGTCTTCCGGGGAGCCAGCCCGCCTACCCAGTCGATGGGGTGATGAGTCGAATCGTCCCCTCCTTCCCGGGACGAGTGTTGCTGGGAGAGCCTCCTTCCCGGAACGAAGGCGTTACCGGGAGGGCCTCCTTCCTGGCTACTCAACTTGCCGGGCCGCGTACTCCCTTCGGGGTCCTTCATGCTCTAAGCGTACGAGCGTGGTCTATGGGCACCGAGCATACATGCGTCTGGGGTGATAACTCCGAGCGTGCACGATCTCGCGATGGTGCTCCACAACCTTGACCGATTGGCACGGATAATCAACCTGCAATTTCAGAAAATTTAATAAAAATTTCAAATTTATTTTTTTATTGTTTGATGGTTGTCCTTTGTTGATGATCCCCCGGTTAGGATAGATTGAACTGGGGAATAACTACCCTGAACTTGGTGGGTTGGAGGCCTGGCGAAGCTCATTTTTTATTTGGCCCCGCACCTACTGGGAGAAGAGAAGTCCAGGCTTCGTAAGAATTTTGACTAGATCAAAATTGAGTTCTGCCCGGAGAGGAAAAAAGGTGTCCAACTGTAGAGGTCTAGCCTGCTCATATCCGACAGAGGCTTTGCTAGGGGGAAGTCTGTCCGGCACGAGAGCAGAACTATGTCTGGTAGCGCTCCAAGCGGCGGGCTGAGAAGCGAGCAGCGATCAGAAGGTCCGCAACCTAGTTCGTTATTCCTGCTGCCACGGCCACCCTTGCTTGCCGGTGGAGAGGTTCTGGGCAGCAACCGCAGTACTTTTGCGTCCAGTAAGGTCTACAGCGGCCAGCGAGCTTCATCCGACTGTGCGCGGCGGAGCCGTGGACGGCTGCGGCCTGGATGGTGCGACATAGGATTCAGACTCGGAGGGACAGGGAAAGTGTGGCGAGCGGCGCCTAACGCGGGGGTGTGAGCTGCGAGCACTGTTGCCGCTACGGCGAAGGTGGACGCCCCTGCTTACCAGACCCCCTCTTTCCCTGACGCGGAGGTGTGAGCTTTCGTTCTTCCTTAGACCAGGATCCACACCTTCAATTTTTCTACCCCGTTCAATTTTTGGAAAATTGTTCATGCATCAATCTGAAATTGTGGCAATTTTTGTATTGATATTGGGAAGAATTTCACTTTGATTTCTGTTCCAAATTTTCCTAGTTTCTACCGGAAAATCCAAGTTTCTACCGAAAAATGAGAGATGGCTCTCAATGAAAGCACCAATGTTGGTAGAAAATATTCCGAGTAGAGAAACTAGCAGCATTTCAGTACAGTAAAATAGCGTCGTCAATACATGAGGGGTGATGGCCTATTTATAGGCATCCACCACAAGTCCAAAAGTCTAATCTACGTGGGCTTGGCCCAAATACATAATACATGTCCAAGCTAATGGGCGAACCGGCCCAATAAATAAGTAAATGAGCAAGGGGCGATTCCCGCTCGGGAGACTGCGTCTTGGGCCTAGTTGGGCCAAAGCTCGGGGATAACAGGCCGAGGGCACTAGGCCTGGCATATTATCACAACACAGACATTACCACAGCAGTTCAGATCAGAGTAGACTAGACCAACAAATTACAATCCAAATAAAAACATACATGTTATTCTTCCAAGAATAGGACCACATTTGGTTTTCCATAAATAGACCTTATCATTCCTAAATGAGGAGGCCATTTAGGAACACTGTTTTTCGGCTTATCAGGCTTATCGGTCAACTTTTTACCAATTACATGACTTTTGCTTTCGCGCACTGAATTAGGTAATAAGCAGAAAAAGTAAGATTATAGTTACTTTTCTTGCTGTATTGGCTGAAGTTACTGTAGCTGATCATTTTAGCTATTTTTACATATATTTTTTTCTTTATTGTATTAATAAAATATATTTTAAAAATAATTTTTTCTTAAATCAGCAGAATCAGCCAATGCAGCCACTTCAAAACTTCATAAATTTCAGTAGAATCAGCCAAACCAGCCAATTTTGGTGCTACCAAATGGGCTCTAGGTGACACAAGTTGTGAGTTACAATTCCCCTACATAGAGGCCGTTTGGCAACACCTTTTTTCGGCTTATCAGTCGACTTTTTCACTAAACACGTAACTTCAACTTTTGCGCGCTGAGTTGTGTAATAAGCAGAAAAAGTAAGGTTGGAATTACTTTTCTGGCTGTTTTGGTTGAAGTTACTGTAGATGACCATTTTAGCTATTTTTACATATAATTTTTTCTTTATTTTATTAATAAAATATATTTTAAAAATAATTACTGCTTAAATCAGCAGAATCAGCCAATACAGCCACTTCAGCCAGAACTTCAGAAATTTCAGCAGAATCAGCCAAAACAGCCGATTTTCGTGCTACCAAACGGGCTCATAGCATTATTATATCCATCTGGTTAGAGCATGTATTGTGATTAAGAATTTTATTTATTAATTTGACCCCACTGATAAAGGTATGAACATAAATACATACATATACATATAAGGTTTCACTGGTTCGTACAGATCAGAGCCGCCACACACATGTGAATATGTGATGCGCCGACCAAAACGTGTTGGCCGGTCATAGTCTTGAGTCTTGTTAAAATAATTTTGATGGTGAGAAATATATGCATGTATTCACACACACGAACACAGAAGAAGGTGGGAGGAAGCTAACTAATTAAATAGCTATTTATCAGCTTTATGGTTAGGTAGCAAATCACAAAGAAAATTGAAAGAAACAGAGGAAATTGGGCATGGGAATGGGTAGATTATTGTTATTGCCGTTCATAGAAATGGGAATTGCAGTGGGAGTGAGCTTGCTGCTGGCGATGAGTGTGGCCAGCAAATGCTTTGATGGAGAGAGAGAAGTGCTCCTCAAGTTCAAGCGCAACGTTCTTGACAAAGAGGACAGGCTAAGGTCTTGGGGCAACCACAGTGAAGATTGCTGCCGCGATTGGGAGGGGATCAGGTGTGATGATTCTACTGGCCATATCATCCACATTGATCTTAATAGGATGAATCTTTCCACGAAAGGCGGCGACGGTGGCAGTATGTATAGCCCCGTCCTTCCATTCTTTGAGCTGCGCTATTTGAAGTATTTGGATCTTAGCTCCAATTACTACTTGCTGGAAAACCAGAGCATCTCATCATTGATTGGGAACAACACCATGGTCTCCCTTCAACATCTAAATCTTATAGGCTGCGGAATTGTGGGCACCATTCCTGAAAATTTGGGAAACAAGATGCCTGCCCTGACATACCTTAATCTCTCCTATAATCACTTAGAAGGTTCCATTCCTGAAGATTTAGGAAACGACATGCGAGCCCTCACATACCTCGATCTTAGCAGTAATAGATTAAAAGGACCCATTCCTGAAAACTTTGGAATTAACAAGTCTGCCCTTTCACACCTTGATCTCTCCCGTAATAACTTAGAAGGTTCCATTCCCAAAAATTTAGGAAACGACATGCGAGCCCTCACATACCTCGATCTTAGCAGTAATAAATTAAAAGGACCCATTCCTGAAAATTTTGGAAGCAGCATGTGTGCCCTCACACACCTCGGTCTCGGTTCGAATAGCTTGGGAGGCTCCATTCCTGACACACTGGGGAGTATGGTTAAGCTGACTTACCTTAACCTGCAAGATAATGAGTTGGAGGGTCACATTCCTGAAGCTCTAGGGAATATGTCAGTCCTTGAACAACTTAACCTTTGGGGTAATAGACTTGAAGGAGAAATACCTAAATTCATTTGGAACATATGCACTCTGAAGGTCTTGAGCTTGGATTCCAACAGTCTTGGTGGGAACCTTATCATATCCACAATATGCTCGAACCACTCCCTGCAGGAATTATCTTTATCTCGCAACCCACTCACGGGGTCATTTCCTGATCTTACCAAGTTCCCCTCTTTGACCGAATTAGATATTGGTTATAACCTCCTCGGTGGGGTCATTTCGGAACATAACTTTGTTACACTCACCAAGCTACGCTATCTGGACTTATCTTCAAATAATTTCACTTTCAATGTCACCTCGGCTTGGCTTCCTCCTTTCCAATTGAAAAGTATATACCTCCGGTCTTGCAAGCTAGGCCCTCAGTTCCCCAATTGGCTTAGAACTCAAGTCAACATTTTTGAGCTTGACATCTCTAATAACGACATCTCAGATTCAATCCCCTCCTGGTTTTGGAGCAGAATCACTAGTAACTTCCGGGAAATTAATGTTTCTCATAACGGAATGAAGGGAAAAATTGAAATTGGTGCTGAAGCATCAATCAGCGGAGGCAAACTAGATATGAGTTCCAATCAATTGGAAGGTGTCATTCCACCCTCTTTATTAAATGTGAAAGTCCTGTTTCTTTCTCGGAATAACTTCACCGACCTCAACTCTCTATATGACGTCAAGTCATTTTCTCCTTTGCAGCTTTTGGATGTCTCATACAATCAACTTTCCGGAACACTTCCGGATTGCTGGTCAAATCTCTCTAGTCTTCAAGTTCTGAACCTGGGAAACAATCACAATCTATTAGGGACTCTTCCAACATCCATTGGGTCATTGGCTTCCCTGAAGGCATTGCATCTTGACCATAACAAATTTACTGGCCCTCTACCTTCATCCATGAAAAACTGCTCGACCTTGGTATCTTTGCATCTGGGGTACAATAACTTGTATGGACCAGTACCAGATTGGGTGGGTGAAAGTCTAACACAACTTGTGATACTTGTGCTAACATCCAACAACTTCTATGCAAGTTTACCAACAAGTCTGTGCCGTCTCCAGTCTCTTCAATTGTTGGACCTGTCCATGAACCACATCTCAGGGACTCTTCCCAAATGTCTTTCTAATCTCACCCAAATGATGACTATGACAGGAGGAGACAACATTGCCATCACTACTTATTTGATAGAGATCTACGTCGAAGTTACAACAGATTCTACTATATCATATGTATTCTCTGTAGATGACATAATAGATGTTAGGTGGAAAGGTGTTATCTCCGAATTTGGAAGTACTTTAAGATATGTAAAGAGCATTGATCTATCATCCAACATGTTGGATGGGGAAATTCCAACAGAAATCACATCTCTTATTGGGTTGGTCTCGTTGAACTTGTCACAAAACAATCTCACGGGACCCATTCCTTCGAGGATTGGTAACTTGGCACGCTTAGATACTCTCGATTTGTCTACTAACCATTTGTCTGAAAGCATTCCTCAAAGCCTTGCCCTGATTCCTGGCATAAGCTTTCTCAACGTGTCCAACAATAACTTATCTGGCAAAATTCCGAAAGGCACTCAACTTCAGAGCTTCAATGCATCATTCTACACGGGGAATCCCGCACTATGTGGAGATCCACTCACCAACAGTTGTCCAGGAGAAGAATCTACTCACTCTACTTCTCAATTCAGTGAAGAAGGAGCTTCTAATAGAGAAGAGGAGGAGGATACACTTCTTGGCGGCGAGTTTTATGCAAGCGTAGGGGTCGGATATGCGGTTGGGTTTTTGGGAGTTCTTGGGACGATGCTATTCAACAGGTCTTGTAGGTTTGCATTTTTCGAAGTCCTTGAAAACCTTGGTAATTGGACTTACGTTGCAGTCGCAATCCACAAAGCCAAGTTCCTGGCATCACTTGGTGGTTAATAGGCCAGTGTAAGGAGTTGGTTATGTTTTTTTCTCGATCTTGTCTAGATTAATATAATAATCTATAGTGTTGGGATATTGATGTAATTTCCACATTCTCTATTTATTTAATATAATAATCTATAGTATTGGGATGTTGATGTAATTCTCTATCTATAGTCTGTTTGGTGATCATGTTTTTAAGCTTATCGGCCTTAATATTTATGGCTTGTTTCCCCAAATTTCTGGATCTTTTGTTTTATGTTTTACTTGGTCCGTGATTTATTAACCCGATGGGAATATTTCGGCTTCAATACGGCCGAATCTATTTATTTAACAAGCAAGTTAAATAAAACCTTTTTATTTTTCATGATTAACTTTTTGTTTCGAAGCTATACGTACTTGAGACGGCAGTTAATGTTTAAAACGATTAAGAAGCATTTGCCTCTTAATCTTGAAACCACAAACAAGTTAATGCAGAGCTTGATAGTCCCTGTTCAAAGTGAGTTTTGGAGCGAAGTCTATTGAAATTTTAAAAACATTCTATTTGGATGGATATGCATTCTAACAATGAGAAAATAATGTTGCTCATTGCGGATTAAAGTGCAGTTCTTTTGTTTTCGTTTTTATGGTGTTTGTGAATGGGAGGTGGTTTTGATGTTAGTACTGTGTAGTAGTAGAAGTTAAAAGAATGAATTTTTTGGGCCCATGATAGAATCCTAGGTGATGATTTTAAATTTAAAAAAAAAATCTTCTTGAGTGGATCATCCTTTTCTCTTTCTTGGTGTTCTCCTTTTTTTGTTTCTTTTTCTCATAACTAGTCTTTCACCCGTGCGTTGCACGGGATTTCAAAGTATAACAATGCACACATGTCTGGGTATTACAAAAGTGTTACCAATTATTTAGAGTAACCTATATCAGCAGTCAGCACGTTTTAAAATATAGAGTTTAAGTGTTTAACTTTTTAGTTGCTAATAATGTGAAAAAAATATCATGCAAATCAAGTGTTACTATCAAATATTGGAAGAACAAAAGAAGCATAACCCGAAAATCCGAAATGCTTCTTTTTATGGAAGATGTTCAAACTATATTAGATCAAACAATCATTGGCCAATTGGCTTACAATGCAATCAGGGACCGTATAATAGGTGTCGTGACAACCTGACAAAGAAGCACCCGCTCTAGCAAGAATATGAGCAGCTCAATTCGCAGATTGTGTACGGTAGTTAATTAACTCTCATCAGATAGCAAAGCCGACTCTCCCCAAATCCCAATCACCACTAACAAAACATGTGTTTTAGCAACCGTACATGACCAGCCTTTGTTCTTTGCCCAAAACATCGCTTCACATACTTCCAGCGCCTCCGTTAACAACGGAGACCAATTTGTTGTCACCGCTTCCTGTTGTCCTTCAATAAACTGCTTGGTCTCATCCCGTGCAATCCATACCAAAGCTCTAACTCCCGCCTGTTGATTAATTGCATCATCCACGTTTACTTTAGCCCACCCCACTGACAGTTTCCCCCACTTTGCTCCCTCATCATTTGCATTTCGGGCTCTTTGTCTCTGTAGTTGTGCGTCACGCCAACCTCCCAAAGCTGCAGGTCCACCTGCTATCACATTCCTATAGGAAAATCTGCACTCTTCCACACCTTGTTGTTTCGGTTTGTCCAAATGCTCCACAAGCACACTATAAATCTGCACAAATCCTCCTCTATTAGCTTCTCAAACATAACTCGCATCCCTTCAGCAAAAGAAGCAACTGGCCGCACAAACTGAGTGCCTAACTTAGACCAGATTTCTCCTCTGCTTCGCTGCCCACTGGACAATCTGCCAGAACATCTACCCGTCGTTGGTTTAACTTATCTATCGCAAGAAGAGCATCCACAATGAGCTGCCAAAACGAATTTTATTTTAGATATATATATAGATATAAAAGAAGGCTAAAAACATCCTGACATGTATAATATGATGGGTAATAAATGAGAAGTCAAAAAATCATGTCAGAAATTCATATTGTAAATGATAGTACACCTTACATACCAAGTAGTTTCAAATTATCATTATGAGTTCTAAGAGCCATACCACATAAAATTAGGATATGTGGTTACCACTTTAGCAAAGATCACAAAGAAATCATTCAAAAATAACATCTTTAGGACTATATCAACCCACTTTTACTTATATTGGTGCTAAGGGACTTATATGTTCAGATATTAGTTTGAATGTTCAGTATCTACCTCACAGGTAGTAACACCAACAAAATGTTTCATTCAATAATGAAAGATGATTTAAGACCTCAAACAAATTAGTAGAGAGATGATTCAAGAAAGAAAGCAACTGAAAGCTATAAGAGAGTCCAAAGTTTTAAATCCTAGCGTCTTTTATCAGGGTAAACCTCCAAAAGGCCAACCCCATCCATAAATACAAAACAGTGTTTCTGGAATGAATTTAACTGTGTCAAAGGAGCAATTTCAGACTCTTTTCTGGTAGCACAGATGAGATATATTTATTAGAGAAACTCAATGCACACTCAGGACTATCAAGTTCTTCCCTAACCATACAAATGGACCAGCCTATCCTCCCCATTGAGAGTTACATTTGGAATATGTAAAAGTTACATGAAAATGTAAAAATGTAAATACTTAAAGGAGGATCTCAAAGATAATATCTTCCTCTAACAACTTACCTCAAGATTATCAAATAAGTAAATATATTGGTCTGAATTCATTGGTTGAGCAGCTATAACATTCTAAAAGCACTTCCTTACACATTTATAACTTTTAGTTTATCAAGCATTTTATGGTGATACATCATAGCAATATGTAGAAATAAAAGGCACTTAAAACGCATTTTATGAAATAAATTCTATACATTGTTTCACATTCTGAAAAAAACTTCACTTTTTATAAAGGGGGGAGATTCAGGAACACGATTCAAAACTAAAAATCATCAATGTGACATTATTACAAACACCTTTAAGGCACTCTAAAACTGAGAATCTTAGAACCAAATATTTTCACACTCCATCTCAAATTCAAAGCAATTGAGTGAACCCTACACAAAAACAATCAAAACATTTATGAAATTTGAACCCGTCATAAGCATATAATATATTTAATCATTAAATATATAGCACAAAAAACGTTGTGTAATAGGAGTGGTGTTAGGAGATGGAAAATTGGGGGCTAGATAGCGGTTACCTCAAGTCTTCTTGGGTTAGCTTTCTCTCTAGTCTGTCTTCAACTTCATGAAAGACTAAAATTTATTCCAGCCCTACAAAATCAATACAAAATCGAAATCAATACAACAACCATTAGAAACTGATTTCAGGTCTTCAAAATCAATATCAGTCCTAATTAATAAGAGGAATCAATACGGTTTTAACTTAGATTAACAGGGAGAAAGATTAGTTTGAGAGGAATGAATTAACTTTTGATGGTGAAAGCATGCTGAAGTATTCGTGGTTTGGAAAGGCGAATAAGTGGTCGAAAGAATGAGATGGCTTTAGAAATCCTGATGCGTTTATGAAGGAGATAACATATATTTACGCAAATGTCCCTGAATACTGAGCGCCTGAGCGGGAAATACACTTAGTTCGATTAATATAGATATAGATGTTTTTTTATATCCTTAAACTTTTCAAGTTTAGGACTTATGGTTAGAGGTAGGGATGGTTCAGTATGATATACCTTATATTTTTTCTCATACCTTTTCTGTACCAAAACTTTTGATATGCAAAATTTGCATACCTTACCGAAGTTTCAGTATACCGCATTTCGGTATACCGAAGTTTCGGTTCGGTAACGGTACAGTATCGGTAAATTACCGTGCATGTCTCCCAATACAAAAAATTATCATAGACTAACGAAACATACTAAATCGTTATTACTAGCGACATATTAAATCTATTATTAAAATGTTACGAAATACAATTAATAATCTATTGATGTCAATTCAATATTGAACCATTATTATTATTATTAGTATATTTAAGCAGTTCAACATGCCACATATTAAAAAGTAACACATTCTCCTAAAATAACTTGAACAATATATATAATTAAATCAATATTAATCTCTAACAAAAACAAATAAAACTATTCAAACAACATGGATATAAAATCATTTATTCCTATTATGTTATTGTGTATTTAGTCATTTTTATAATTTTTATAAAATTGAATAAGAATTTCGGACAAAGTTGCGTGTCTCGGCCCGCGGAATCCCTATGTAGATACACTTGTCACACTTAGCGGCCCAGCCATCATGACTTGCAAGCTCTTGAAACAAGATGGACTTGTTTCTTGACATTTGTACATTACTCATTAGTCATTAAGGTTAGCGTAGTAGAAGCCTATAAGGTTATTGTGGGTTTGAGAAATGGGACCTTTAGAAGTCAGAGACGCCGGGAACGTTAAAAGTAGTGGGGGAAGTTTGAATGACATCGCGATCTTCCTCGGCGGTGATGTTGCCGCCGCCGCCGCCTAAGACCCCAGTATGGGGTAGTAAATTGTTTGTTGATGTGGTCACTAATCGAGAAAAGCCCCTTTCTATCCAGGCATCACGTTTCAAGGGTATGCCTTGTATTTCTTTCGTCGATGAGGATATGCAATCGCTTGCAGATAAGCAGAAAAACGTCTTGGTTGGCTATTTCTTTAAGGACCGACCTAGTTTGCCAATACTGAGGAGATCCTTTGACATTATCGGGTTTAAGGGGAAATTTCATTTGGGATTGCTAGATCCCAAACATGTGCTACTCAGATTCGAGCTTGAAGAGGACTATTTGAGGTGTTGGAATAAACAATCCTGGTCTATTCATGGCAGTATTATGAGAGTGACTAAATGGTCTCCAGATTTTTGCCCTAATGTGGAGTCACCTGTTGTGCCAGTGTGGCTTGTGCTGGAAGGTCTTCCTATGCATCTACATGATAAGAGAGCTTTGTTTGAAATTGTTGGATTAATTGGGAAACCTCTCAAGATGGATGCGGTTACAGCCTCTCTGGCCAAACCTTATATGGCAAGGGTCTGTGTGGAATTGGATTTAACTAAGGAAATGCCACAAAAAGTGTGGATAAATTGTGGGTCTAAAGGCTTTGCGCAGACTATTATTTACGAGAACAGGCCAGATTACTGCACATCATGCCTCCATTTGGGTCATAAGGAATCCAAATGTATCAAAGGGGAGGTGGTTCAATCTGAGCAGCCAGATATGGCTGTAATCACGAAGGAGAAGTGGGTTCAAAAACCCAAGGCATCTGTGCTTAAGGCACCTCAGACTGAAGCTT